ACAGTTGACCATAGGTAACTGAAACCATAGAAAATTAAATCACAGATAAGGGGGGATTACTGTATGTTTTCCCTGTTTCAGAATCCAATCTAGGGTGTATGCTGCATTTAGAAGTTGGCTCTTTAATCTTTTTTTTTTTTTTTTTATGGAACACTTCCTCAGCCTCTGTATTGTTTCATGACCAGTTATTTTATAGAATATTCATCAGTCATAGGGAAAATTGCAAAAAACTTTGAAATAGACCACAAGATTAGTAGGTATCTCCAAAGAAAACTAAAAGTTGTCTAGTGTACCTTTTCAGGTTACCTGATTTCTATGTGAGTTCTCAGACTTTCATTATATTTACATTATTTTACAACTCTATAGGTCATAGAAAATTAATAGCAATGCAAATGATTCTTATCTAGCCAGAGAAACTGTAAATTGTATCTGGTGGAATGCAATTGATTGCTCCCTGGCTGTTAACCAGTTCTCCAGTTTTTTGTATCTATTTGTAAATGCATATCAGCCATTTCTTATTTGATTTCTTATTTGAGTGGCACTTTGGATTCTCATTCTGATTGTTTATAGTCTCTTACTAGCTCTGTCATTAATGAGATAAGTAAAATCTTTAACATATGTTCATTTTATATCTATATGAGTCATTATTTACTTGTCAAAAGACAAAAGTACAACTAATTTAGTTTAAAAATCTTACTTGGCTTTATTTGTGATTTTAGAATTGGGCAACACTTCATTTCATAAAATAGAGTAAGTATTCCAATGAGCTGAGCAGAGGAAGTTGGTTTTATAGAGAGAAAAGGACTGAAGAAAGCAGAAACAAAGAATAAAAAGTGGTTTGGTCGTTTCAAAAATTGTTTTCTGTACAAGGCAGCATAAATTAAAAGAGAATTCTGAGCCCCCCACTGACTGAACAGACCTCCTCTTGGCCAAGGAGACACCAGAAAAATATGAAAACCGAGTTTCTGGCCATGAAGGGATGGGTGGTCAGGCATACTTTCTTATACCGTCTCCATTTTGGAGTTTAAACTAATTGCAAACTAGACCCAAGGCCACATAGGCAACGGTTCAGTCATACCTGTAGGACATCAATTTACTTAATGTATCACTTTAAGCATACTTAAAGCTTGCTCTCTGATTAACAAACCCCCTTAACTCAAGCATTCCTATCTACTGACTCCAAGTCTTTGGACAAATCTTTCTTTCTTTTTTTTTTTTTTTTTTGAGACAGAGTCTCACTCTGTTGCCCAGGCTACAGTGCCGTGGCATCAACCTAGTTTACAGCAACTTCAAACTCCTGGATTCAAGTAATCCTTCTGCTTCAGCCTCCTGAGTAGCTGGGACCACAGGCATGTGCCACGAGCCACCATGCCCGGCTAATTTTTTCTATATATTTTTAGTTGGCCAATTAATTTCTTTCCATTTTTAGTAGAGACGGCGTCTCACTCTTGCTCTGGCTGGTTTTGAACTCCTGACCTTGAGTGATCCTCCCGCTTCGGCCTCCCAGAGTGCTGGGATTACAGGCATGAGCCACTACACCTGGCTCAAATCTTTATTTCTTTAACCTGTTACAAATCAAGAAATCTTTGAACTCACTGATAACCTATAAATCCTTGCTTTGAGATGTCCTGCCTTTTAGGGCCAAACCAATGTATACCTTACATCTACTGATTTATGATTTTACCCAATTCCTGTTTCCTTAAAATGTATAAAACCAAACTATAACCTGAATGCCTCAGGACTGCTTTCTCTAGGCTTCTTGGATATGATTGCCCAGACCAGTGGTCACTCATATTTGGCTCAGAATAAACCTCTTTAAATTATTTTACAGAGTTTGGGTTTATTTTCTGTTAGCAATTCTGGTACCCAGACATGGGGCTCAGAGAAGAGTCAGGAGCCCCTGAAGGAATAATCCAAATTTGGCAATAAGTACTCTTGGGTCCCCTGACTCCAAGCTTCTCTGGACCTCCTGCTCTTGGTTGTTGGTCTTTGGTTTATTCTGAGCTATTTGTTCTTTTCCTAGGAAGTGGTTTGGGATCCTAATTTTGACTTGGAGGTACATTTTAAAGGGTCTTCTCCATTGCCTTTTCTTTCAAAAATTAATCTCAATTGGCAAGTCTGCACATTTGGGCAAGAAACCAAACTGTCCTTTTCATAGAAGAAGAAAAAAAAAGGGAAACATCCTCTAAAAATGAGGAAAGTCAAGGAGAATGACTCCTTTGGGCACCCTAGTTGGTTTATGGTGCCTCTATTTGCAAATATTTGTGTAAATGAAAAGGTTCAAAGGCATGCCAGGTTTTCTAGGATTCCAGTTGGTTACATATTATGGCCAATTCTTGTGCACATTTTTTAAATTGATTGGAAGATTACAGGAAGGGTAATTTTGAGCTCCAGCCATATATCTTAAAACTTCAATTTTTGTTATATCACTGCTTTCCGGTTTTTCTTCCCCTAAGGAGGCCTGGGATAATAACTCTTTCCTTCAACTTTTCGTTGACTCTTGTTAGTTTTTCCCTCTCTGGTTCTAAGTCTGGTGTTATGGCCTGATGCTAAAATATTTTATCTTAAAGATTTTTAAAAAGCAGTGCTTTCCTCCACTATAACTTGGTTTTGTACCCTTGTCTGAATAGTTTCAACCTTCTCTATAAAATGAAAGAAGCTGGGAGCACCAAGATTTATCAACAGCATCATTAAACTCACCTAGTGTTCTAACAGTACTTCCTGTTAATTAAGCTAACACTTAATTACCTACCATTATAGGTAGGTAATTAATTATCTCTCATTGATTCTGAGGGATTCTTATTCACATGCAACAGGGTGGAAATGACACTGAACCCACGGACTAGGCTATAATAATCATAACTACCATTTTGTAAACACATACTTCTTGGCAATGCTGGCCTAGACAATTGTTCCTACACTACTTTATTTAATCTTCCGTATCTTTTAACTTTTGCCAGTTGCCTATTTAATAATCAGTGGGCTTATTCTACTTTCATGTTTTCTTCCCCATGTCTCCTATTTTTCAATGGGTGAACTTTTTGTTTCTGGTGGTGGTCTTAGATTTATCTTAGTTTTGCTGGTTCCCTTCTTTTCTCTTTCACTCACTTTCTGTTTCTAGTAGTACACTGAGGTCTTTTTATCTTCTTTTTTGTAGCTTAAACTTTGTCATTCTATCTCTTCTAGTTATACTGAAGACATAGTTTTTGTATAGTTTTATTTTTTCCTGTTTTTCAAATTGTTTTTGAATATATATATAGGGAAACTCAGATTTAGGCAGCCACCGTTTTCCACATCTACCCAGTAGTCCAGTAAACGTATTTTGAATGATATGCTGGCGATATCAGTTATTGTCTCCCTGCTGAGATCTTTCGTTGTCATCCACATCCTCTGCTGAAGGAGAAGACACAAGTGATCATATTTGTAACTAAAATAAGTGACCTTGTTTGTATTAAATGACTTTATCCCCTTGGCTACAAATGTTTGGACCAGGATGGATACAGGACCTAAACTCTGTTCAACAGATTATATCTTCTGAGAATTTGGACTAAAGGACAGAGATATAATCAGAGTACAGGACACTGGAGCTGTTAAGTCTTGTAGAGTTGAGGACTCTGTGTCATGAAAACTGAAGATATGGAGGAGCAAATACTAAGAGGCTCACGAAGACAGTTGGAATGGAAAGAGTACTGAGCAGAGAGAAGTGAGGATGGTATCTTGGAAGGGATAGAATGAGTCAAGAAGACAGAGAGCCAAAGACACCAATATAAACAGTCTCTGATGATTGTTTGGCTCCCAAGAGAACAGCCTGGATAACTGGCAACAGTAGTCAACGTATCTTTTTATCATTATAATAAATTTCCTTTTTTTCTTGAGCTTTTTTTATATGGGTCTCAGTTTTTTAATTAGTAGGCTGAATATGGTAGGCTTTACTAAAAGTTTACTAACCTGACGTTACTACTCATACACAATATGATGTGGGACTACAAACAACAGGAGCTTTTCACAGAATTGACTTGAGATGATTTGACAGCATAAAATTATTAAATCTAATTATAAGAATTTTCAGTCTGGAAGAGACTTTTGAGGAATATCCAAATTCTCAAATTTTAGAGAAGAGAGGCCAAGGGAAAATGGTTTGCCAAACTGGCATTGAATTAGGGACCTCATTAGAATCAGAACTATGGTCTCTTGATATCTGGTCTATTTTTCATCTGATTACCTGTACTGAGTTGGATAGTGTACCTCTGCAAATTCATGTTCACTTGGAACTTCAGAATGTGACCTTATTTGGAGTAGCATATTTGCAGATGTAATGAAATTAAGATGAGGTCATATTTAATTAGGGTAGGTCTCAATGACTGGTGTCCTTATAAGAGGGGAAAACAGAGACACACAGGGAGAATGCCATACGATGACAGGGGCAGAGATTAGAGTGATGCAGCTGTAATCCAAGGAATGCTAAGGGTTGATTGCTGCTACCAGAAGGTATAAAGGGGCAAAGAAGGATTCTTTCCTATACCTTCCAGAGGCCCTGCTGACCCCTGATTTTGGACTTCTAGCCTGCAGAACTGTGAGATACCAAATTTCTGCTCTTTTAAGCCACCTAATTTATAGTACTTTGTTATGGCAGCCTTAGGAAACTAATACAGTATCCCGTGCTGCTGCTTTAGTATAAAGAGATTTTCCCCTGAATATCATTGAAAAATTATATAGAGAGTTACATTCTTCATAACTGAAGGAAATAGCTTTTTCTGTTGGGCATGTCAGTCTTAACTTTTTAATTCTTCAGTGTGGTTAGCTATACTTTGGTACCATTTAGGAAGTTACAATATTGTTCATTCTGGGATTTTCAAGGAATTATGTCACTAGGAGATTTTGCTTTTACTTATTTATTTTTTTAAGGAATAATTAGTGGTGACAGGTATATGAAGTATGTGTGTGTAGCTTATGGATTTTCTATTATAAGATATTCTGAAATATTCTACTCTTATTTTCAGATTGCTGAAGCTAAAGGAAATGTTTAACTCTAAGTTTGGATCCATTCCCAAGTTTTATGTTCGAGCACCAGGAAGAGTCAATATAATAGGTATTTCAAAAGTTCCTTCTCTTAATTTTTTCTTCCTTCTTTGATAATATCTAAATTTTTGTTAATATATTTCTTTCTTACTTTTCCCCCAAACAGAATATTTCACATACATCTTCTAATATTAAGCTATGCTTTTGCATAAGGAACACACTTTACTTTTATCTTTCTAATCCATATTAACATTAAAGTTGTTCAGTTGTTTTTTTATTTTTATTTTTTTTTTGAGACAGAGTCTCTGTTGCTTGGGCTACAGTGCCATGACATCAGCCTAGCTCAAAGCAACCTCAAACTCCTGGGCTCAAGCGATCCTCCTGCCTCAGCCTCCCGAGTAGCTGGGACTACAGGCACATGCTACCGCGCCTGGCTAATTTTTTCTATTTTTAGTTATTTGGCTAATTTCTTTCTGTTTATAGTAGAGACAGGGTCTTGCTCTTGCTCAGGCTGGCCTTGAACTCCTGAGCTCAAGCAATCCTCCTGCTTCGGCCTCCCAAAGTGCTAGCGTAGCTACTGAGCCTGGTCTTGTTCAGTTGTTTTTTAAACTTATAAATTTGTTAAAACACAGTTGTTAACATTGTTCTCCTGGAAAATGAAATTATTTTACTATGTTACATGTTAAAATTTTAGACTGTGAAAAGTAGTTTTGATGGTTTTACATTTACTCATTAGGTTAGTGGAACACTGGGAAACCTTACAATTCCTTGCTATTAAAAGTGTGGTCCAGATTTTGCAGGTCTTCAAGATATATTTATCTTTTCCTTTGCTTCTCCCATGAAGCACTTTGAATTTTACAACCTCCTAGTGGTAACTAACACAGCCTTTTAACATTTTGTTTACTATCTTTCTGTCAATGTCCATATATATATAATAATTGATACAGTTGTAATTAGATTGCATACCATTTTTATCTTGTTTTTTCACTGAATATACCGTAAATATTTCTATGTGTTTTAGTTTACTTTCTGCTGCTATAACAGAATGCCACAGACTGGATAATTTATAAATGATAAGAGTTTATTTGGCTTATGATTCTGGAGTTGGGAAGTTCAAGATCATAGCACCAGCATCTGGTGAGGGCTTCTTGTTGAGCCCTTCCATGGTGGAAGGGCAGAAGTACAAGACAGCGTGCAAGGCAGAGAGAGGATGGGGGCTGAAATTCACCCTCCTACCACAAACCCAGTCCTGGGATAATTAACCTCCTCTGGAGACAGTGGTGGCATTAATCCATTCATAAAGGTAGAACCCTCACGACCTAATCATCTAATAAGGTCCCATTTCTTAATACTGTCATAATGCCAATTAAATTTCAATATGAGTTTTGGAAGGGACATTCAAACCATAGCACTATGTTTCTGTATAATGTTCATAATTATTATTTTAATGACTTCATTCATAATAGCTTACTGAGTTAATATTTTATAATTTACTTAATACTTTATTCTCATTGTACATAAAGTTATTTCTAGATATTTACTCTTTATAACTAGTAGTTTGATAAAAAGAAAATATTAGGTGAGAACAGCGTTTATCATTTTATTATTTCTGATTTTTTTTTTTTTGAGGATGGAAAGCAGAAGTATTAAATAGGTAGAATAGAGGATGTACTCCATTTCATGGGACTTAGTAAGTTTCTCATTTTCCACAAAGGGATCTTGAACTTAAAAGTACTTGTAAGGTCTTTGACTTAACAATGATTTGACTTATGATTTTTTTTTTTTTCCTTTATGATGGGTTTATTGGGATATAACACCATCATAAGTTGATAAGCATCTATATTTATTTGTACTCTTTTTTTTCTGTTTCATTTCTTTTTTTTAAATTTTAATTTTAATTTAGCGTATTATGGGGGTGCAAGTGTTAAGGTTACTTATATTGCCCATGCCCCCCCCCTCGAGTAAGAGCTTCAAGTATGTCCATCCCCCAAACGTTGCACTTCTTACTAGTTGTGGTTGTATATACCCATCACTTCCTCCACCCTCCCACCCTCCTGACACACAATAAATGTTACTCCTATATGTCCACTTAGGTGTTGATCCGTTAATACCAATTTGCTGGTGAGTACATGTGGTGCTGGTTTTTCCATTCTTGAGATACTTTACTTAGTAGAATGGGTTCCAGCTGTATCCAGGAATATACAAGAGGTGCTATATCACCGTTGTTTCTTAAAGCTGAGTAGTACTCCATGGTATACATATATCACATTTTATTAATCCACTCATGAATTGATGGGTACTTGGGTTGTTTCCATAGCTTTGCAATTGTGAATTGTGCTGCTATAAACATTCGAGTGCAGGTGTCTTTTTCATAAAGTGACTTTTGATCTTTTGGGTAGATGCCCAGTAGTGGAATTGCTGGATCAAATGGTAGATCTACTTGTATCACTTTGAGGTATCTCCATATTGCTTTCCACAGAGGTTGAACTAGTTTGCAGTCCCACCAGCAGTGTAGGAGTGTTCCTCTCTCTCCACATCTTACGCCAGCATTTGTTGTTGGGGGACTTTTTGATAAAGGCCATTCTCACTGGAGTTAAGTGATATCTCACTGTGGTTTTGATTTGCATTTCCCTGATGATTAGAGATGTTGAACATTTTATCATATGTTTGTTGGCCATTATTTTGTCTTCTTTTGAGAAGTTTCTATTCATGTCCTTTGCCCATTTTTTGATGTGGTTGTTTGATTTTTTCTTGCTGATTTTCCTGAGTTCTAAATAGATTCTAGTTATCAGCCCTTTATCAGATGTGTAGCTTGCAAAAATTTTCTCCCATTTTGTGGGTTGTCTGTTTGCTCTCTTGACAGTTTCTTTGGCTGTGCAGAAGCTCTTTTATTTGATTAGGTCCCATATGTTTATTTTTGTTGCTGTTGTGATTGCCTTTGGGGTCTTCTTCATAAATTCTTTGCCTAGGCCAATGTCCTTGCAGGTTAGATGTGTTTCCTGAAGGCAGCAGATACTTGGCTTGTGTTTTTTTATCCATTTGGCCAGCCTATGTCTCTTGAGTGGGGAGTTCAAGCCATTCACATTTATTGAGATAACTGATAGGTGGGGAAGATTTCTGTTCATTATGTTGGGTTGAATTTTGTTGCTTTGTTTTCTCTCTTGAGCCATTGTAGTGTCTGGGCTTTGATCTTTAGCTTTGAGTAGATTTACATTCGTGAGTGTTTATTGTGCTGATCTGTGAGTAACACTGTTTTGAATACTTCTTAAAGGGCTGGTCTTGTCTTGGTGAATTCCCTCAGTCTTTGCTTATCTGAGAATGTCTTGATTTCTCCTTCATATACAAAACTTAGTTTTGCAGGGAATAAGATTCTAGGCTGGGCATTGTTCTGTTTCAGAAGAGTGAGAATGGGGCCCTAGTCTCTCCTTGCTTAATAAAGTTTCAGTAGAGAAGTTTGGTGTTATTTGAATTGGCTTTCCCTTGTACGTTACTTGCTTCTTTCATCTTACAGCTCTTAGAAGGACCTCTTTAGTTGATATTTTGGTCAGTCTGATTACTGCCTGTTGTGATGTCTTCCTGTTTGCATTGAATCTCCCAGGGGTCCTCTGAGCTTCTTGAACTTGTATATCAAGATTTTGAGCAAGGCCTGGGAAATTTCCCTCTATTATATCTTCAAATAGTTTGTCCAACCCTTGAGTGTTGTCTTCTTCCCCTTCTGGCAACCCTATGACCCTCTCATTAGGTTTCTTCACATAATCCCATATCTCTTGTAGGCTTTTCTCTTTTCTCTTGTTTCTCTGCTCTATCTCTGTGACTGTTTTGTTTAATTGGAAGGTGTTATCTTCAATCTCTGAGGTTCTTTCTTCTGTTTGATCTACCCTGTTCTTGAGGCTTTCCACTGAATTTTGTAGTTCCCTGAATTGACTCTTCATTTCCAGGAGTTCAGTTAAACTTTTCTTCATTGTACTGATTTCTTTAGTGAACTTTTGTTCTAGGTCCTGGAGGCTTTTTGTGGTTTCTTTGTGTTGGTTATTGAGTTGTTCTTGCAGGTCGTTGAATTTTCTTATGATCCACATTCGGAATTCCTCTTCTGTCATTTGGTTGCCTGATTTTGGTTGGTACCCGTTTCTAAGGGGCTGGTGCTTCTCTTTGGGGGTGTGGTTTCCATTTGGTTCTTCATATTTCCAGAGTTCCTTTGCTGATTTCTTCCCATGTCGATCAGTTGTTTCTTTCCTTTAGTTTTTCGTTTGGGTATTCACACTCCTTGTTTAGTTTCTGAGCCAGTAGGTGGTGTCCTTGCCGCTGGTCTCCAGGCTGCTCCGGAGGTCTCTGCTTCCAGGTCTCCTCCACAACCTCCTCCCGTGGAGTCTCCCATGGTCTCAGGTACCCCTCCTTCGGACCCTCAATGTAGGCACGTCTTCTTGCTTCTTTCTTCTAATTTCTGCTAGAATCTGTCTTTTCTGCAGAGACACTCTGTCTGGTGGTTTTTCTCGTCCGCCATCTTGATTTGGATCCTATTTGTACTTTTGATTAGCAAGATTGTTACCAACACCATCTATGGAGCATAATTTTGAGGTCTTGTAGAACCCATTTCACTAGCTTCTATGTTTATCCTGGATCAAGCTCGGCTTTAGAAATATGTGTACTTTACACATAGAGTTGTTTTCACCAAGTTGTACCTTGTTATTACTTAGATATAACTGTATGAGACCCATTATTGAGGTCATTGTGGGGATATTATTGAGGATATTGCCCATTATTGAGGATATTATTGAGGATATTGTTGAGGATATTATTGAGGATATTATTGAGGATATTGTCCCTTTGAAGATGCAAAGGAGAATTTTTGCTTTTGCTTTGACAAGGATATGAATCATAGATTAATATGTTACAGTAGACCCTAGCTACATGTGACTATTTAAGCTTAAATTAATTAAATGAAATAAAATTTAAAATTTACATGCACCAGCCACATTTCAGTGCTTACTAGCCACCTGTGGGTAATGGTTACTGTTTTTGATAGCATAGATATAGAATATTTCCATCATTCCAGAATGTTTTGTTAGACATTCTAACTGCTGGGTGGTCTAAATATGTGGTTTGGCTGCCAGGGAGATCAGGAAGAGAAGCTGCCTCTGGTGGTTCCTTAAGTCTCCCTCAGCCATGTTGTCCTTGGGAGTGCTCTGGGTGGCCAGTTTCTGTCTAGGTCCAGAGTGTAAGGGTAACCCTTAAAACTTTGGAAAACATCTCTGGCATTTATGTGTTTGCTTATTTAGGACATACTTAGTTAATATTTGAGGGGTTGAGTTGACTCTTATTTTTTTGTCTTTCCATTTTTGCTTTTCCTCATGTCCTTTTTTCTGTCTCAAATACTCGTCCTCTATTTCCTAGTCCACATGCCCAACTTCTGCCTATTACTTAAGACCCTGTTCAAAAGACCCTGCAGTAGAAGATGGCCTGAAAGTTATGCTGTCCATTCATTTTTTTTTTTTTTTTGAGATAGTACACTGTAAAGTTCATTTTTGCATTAAGCCAGACCATTACAAAATTTTGTGTAACAAATGTAGCATTTGGCCTTTGGAAGAATTGTTTTAATAAACTGTGCAATTTTAATACTGTTTTATTTTCTATTTGAAGGATGTAGGAAGCCAACCACATAGAAATCAGTCTTTTGTAATTTTTTTTTTCTTACTTGCAATCAAAAGAGCACAACTAAAGCAAAATGACTCATTTGGCCAGGGAAATTAAAAGGGAATTAATTGGTTATAAATATGTGGTAATAAGGGAGATAAAGGATCTTATAATAACAGGAACCAAAATGCAACTGGGCTTCATGGAAATGAAATACATCAGAGGCAGTGCTAAAGAACTAAGTAGCAAAAATATTTGAATTTTCACTCTAGTTTTCTGACATTAGATGGTTAACTATCCACTTTGTCTTTGCTTATCTTTATGTATTTTCTTGCTTTTCTTCACACCACCAAATGTCTCTGTTACCCTGTACTCTGGATATTTTCTTTTTGATGCCTTATAAATTAGGACCTCTTGTTTGTGGCTGTCATTGGACCTGTATTTACATCTTTGTGCATCCTTCTAGTTTAATTTCTATCAATATCAGCCTTATCCACTTCACACTTCCTAATTTAGATTCATGAACAAATTATATTCTTGTTTGGATAGAGTTTTCATAATAAACAGGCTGTTTCTTAATTATTGGCCATCTTAAGAATTTCTTTCTTTCACTGAACTTTTCATCAAGGATGATGTTTGCTATGCCCAGTTTCTCTTTCTATTAATAGTTGAAATTATTCTACCTATAGCTTTCTGCTTAAGGAAGCTATATTGCACCGTGCTTTGTGCAGAAACAGGCAAGGTTGGAAATCTGATTCAAATGTGGCCTATTCACAGAATACTATGGTATCATGAACCTAGTTGAGAATTGGGCATATTCAGAATGCTGTCCCTTTCATTTCTGAAGTATAGTTTTTCTGGGCTATCCTTATAGTTTTATAGGCTGGCAGTTTTTTTCTTTGAGCATATGACTGTATTTTCCCATTCTCTCCTGGACTGTAAGGTTTCTGCTGAGAAATCTGCAGTTAGTCTAATTAGGATTTCCTTATATGTGTCTTGATGCTTTTCTTTTGCCGTTTTAAAAATTGTTTCTCTTTGACTTTTGACAATTTGATTATAATGTGCCTTAGAGAGGCCTTTTTGTGTTGAATTTATTTGATGACTTTTGAACTTACTTGATCTGCATGTCCATATCTTTCTCAAGAGTTGCAAAGTTTTCAGTTATTATTTTATTCAATAAGTTTCCTATGCCTTCTTCCATCTCTTCTTCTTCTGAAACTTTTATAATGAGAATATTCCTTTGCTTAATGGTGTCCCATAACTCCCATAGATATTCATTATTCTTTTTTTTTAATTTCAGCATATTATGGGGATACAAATGTTAAGGTTACGTATATTGCCCATTCTGCCCCTCCCACCTAGAGTCAGAGCTTCAAGAGTGACCATCCCCAAAACATTGCACATCTCACTCATTATGTTTGTATATACCTATCCCCTCTTGCCCCCTCCCACCTGCCCAACACCCGATAAATGTTATTCCTATATGTCCACGTAGGTGTTGATCCGTTAATACCAATCTGCTGGTGAGCATATGTAGTACTTGTTTTTCCATTCTTGAGATACTTCACTTAGTAGAATGGGTTCCAGCTCTATCTAGGAAAATACAAGAGGTACTATATCACCATTGTTTCTTGAAGCTGAATAGTACTCCATGGTATACATATACCACATTTTATTAATCCACTTATGTATTGATGGGCACTTGAGTTGTTTCCACAACTTTGCAATTGTGAATTGTGCTGCTATAACATTCGAGTGCAGGTGTCTTTTTTTTAGAGTGTCATTGGATCTTTTGGGTAGATGCCCAGTAGTGGAATTGCTGGATCAAATGGTAGATCTACTTGTATCACTTTAAGGTATCTCCATATTGCTTTATTATTATGTTACTCTTTCTTCTTTCGTCTTCTCCTCTCTCTTCCTCTCTTTTGTCAGACTGGGTTATTTCAAACACTCTATCTTCAAGTTCAGTAATTATTTCGTCTACTTGCTGTAGTCTGGTTTTTTTTTTTTTTTTTTTTTTTTTTTTTTTTTACTTTGTTGGCCGAGATAGAGTGCTGTGGCATCAGCCTAGCACAGCAACCTCAACCTCGTGGGCTCAAGCAATCCTTCTGCCTCAGCCTCCTGAGTAGCTGGGATTACAGACATGTGCCACCATGCCCGGCTAATTTTTTCTATATATGTTTAGTTGGGTAATTAATTTTTTTCTATTTTTCGTAGAGATGGCATCTCACTCTTGCTCAGCCTGGTTTCGAACTCCTGACCTTGAGCAATCCACCCGCTTTGGCCTCTCAGAGTGCTAGGATTATAGGTATGAGCCACCGTGCCTGGCCTGCTTGCTGTAATCTTTTGTTCAAGATCTCAATTGTATTTTTTACTTTATTCATTGAATTCTTCAGCTCTAAGATTTCTGTTTAGTTCTTTTTTTATGATATCTGTCTCATTGTTGAATTTCTCATTGAGATCATGAATTGTTTGATTTCATTGAATTGTCCATCTATATTCTTCTATATCTTGCTGAATTTACTTAAGATCATTATATTGAATTTCTTTTCAAGCATTTCATAGGAGAATTATTGTGGAGTCTTTCATTGGAGGATTATTGTGTTCCTTTGGAGGTGTAATGTTTTCTTGCTCTTTCATGTTTCTTGTGCCCCTATATTGATATCTTTTTATCTGCTGGAACAGTCACTTCTTCCAATTTTATAGAGTAACTTTCATATGGAATGACTTTTTCCTATATATTTGTTGTTGAGTAGGGTGCTCTGACTTTGGTTCTGGGTAGGTACAGTAGTGCAGTCTCTTTGTGATTTCTTTGACTGCAAAGAAAGTCAATGTCAGTGGTATGTGCAAGTGTCTCCATAGTGTTTGTGGTGGCAGTGATATGGCCTTTCTGGTGGTGAGGGCCACTGTGAGGGCTGGTCCTCAAGCCCTGGGGGGCAGGACACGCAGCAGCATGTGACATTTTGACTTGTTTAACAGGTGGCAAGGAAGAAAAAGATGCAAGTTGATGTATGTAAATGTATAATTTTGATGGAGAGGATTGAGAAGTTCTTGTGAGGGGACCCTCTCAATATTGTGGGAGGAGTTGACAGTATAAGAAGAGAGTGGACATTTCAAAATAGCAATGTAAGGGATGAGAGAAGGGAAATGACTGGAAAAACAAAAGTTTTGCTGGGTTGTAGTGAGATCCTGCTCCCTTCCTGTCCCTCAACCAAGGTGTTTCTATCAATTTTGACAAAGTATAGGAATTATTAATTCTTAGAATTAACAGGACTGCAGTCTTCCAAATAGAACCTGTGTGCCTCCTTAGAGTTCTGCTTATTTGAAGGTGTGTTTTCTACTTGTTTTGTATTATTGCATTTTTGAAGGAAGTTCAGGAAAAGATAACTTGGAAAACCACTTCTCCATCTATCATTGTCAATCCATAAAAAAAACTTTTATTATTCCTCCTTAAAAGATAAATTAATGTAGAAAAAAAAGACTGTTATCTGTAATAATATGTAGAATAATATTTATTTAAAATATAATTATACCATTGAATTATCTTCTATTCATTTTGTGTTTCTTAGTTGATTAATACCTGCTGTAGGAACATTCACATATAAAAACTGTACTGGGGAAATATAAGTGAGCTGGCTTAGCCCATCTGTCTTGAATTTGTTATTTTGTGTTTAAATCTTATAAATAACAACCTTAGATTTAAATGCTAACTTGAATAACACATGGTATAGTAGCAAAAAATTCCTATTTATAATTTGCAGAAGAATTAGAGTAAAAAAGAGAAGAGAATAGTTTTTTTCATATATTTCCTTATATATAAAAAGTGTAGATTAAATGTTCTTTTTCTAACTTCTTTTTCTTTTTCCTGGATATGTCTAGCACATTCAATACAACTCATCAGTCCCAATCTAATTTTGTTGATATTTGGTTAAGCCTCAAAGATAAATGGAACAAAGTTCTTATCTTTAGTGAGCTTATTGATTAGTAAGGAAGTAATTGGAACTCAAATAACATTAATATATGAAAGAGTGTACTAAAGACTTCAATTGTTCACATTTAAAAAGTTAATACAAAAGGGCAACAAAGAAAAGAGATATTAATTTGCTTGATGCGAATATAACTCAATATATAACATAAATATTTGAAGATGATCATTATGAATTAGAAAGTGGGAAAAAGACCCATAACATTTAAAGAAGTCCAAAAATTAGCAAAATATAATAACTAACATTTATGGCTAGCAGAAGTTTCTGGCTCAGATATCTGGGGGAGCAAAAAACTGAATAATTCTCTGCCTGTAATATTTTCATTTTCTGTTAAAACCTTACTTGTGCCAACTTCTTCCTGTATGTTAACTTACTTGAGGTTTTTTGTTTCTTATACCAGCAATGATTAAAAATGCTTTCTTTTTTTTTTCTAGGAGAACATATAGACTACTGTGGATATTCTGTTCTTCCTATGGCTGTAGAACAAGATATGTTAATAGCTGTGGAACCTGTGAAAACACACACTCTACAACTGGCCAATACAAATCCCTTGTATCCGTAAGTATGTAGGATTACTAATGTGTGTGTCATGTCTGTGTATGTGTGTTAATGGTATTGTGTTTCTACCTGAATGAACTCTTTAGGAGACATCAAAATTACAATTAATTGTTTAATTTATTGCTATTTTGTTCCTGACATTTAAAAGAATCTAAGGCTGCTATTTAGTGCTTGTTCATTTTGTTCATTTGTCCATTCATTTAAGAAACATTTACCAAAGACTTACCATGTACTAGACATTGTCTTAGATACTGGGTTATACAAAAATGAAAATACCTCTGTCCTTGCCCAGAAAGTATTTATCATTTATTGATCTAACCATTTCTAGCAAATTCAGGTGTATTATTTTCCTCTTTTTAATACTATGGTACCTTCTAATTCTCTTGTTATAGTGCCTTACTATGCTTCATTATTATTTGTTTATTCACCAGCTTTGCTCAGAAGATTGTGAGCTCTATGACTTCAGTCATTTTTGTCTCTCTTCTTTAATGGTCTAGCCTCAGTGTAAAACAGTCTTGTGCATAACAGATATGTTTCTAGTACATATGCTTTATCAAATTAAGAAAGTTTTTTTTCTTATTTTGGTAAGATTAAAAAGTTTATTAATGGGTGTTGAATTTTATTAAGTGTTTATTTGATATTGAAGATCAGTGTTTTAAAAACATGGTGGTTTACTCTGATGGGTTTTCTAATGTTGAACCATCTTTGTATTCCTGTGATAAACCCTACTTGCTTATAATGTGTTACGATGGACTTGATTTACTAATTACAAAAATAGATTTTGACAGATAGTTGGGACGTTATATTTTTGGTTTACTGTTCATTGGACAGTTTGCCTGCAATAATGTTTATTTAGTCAACTAATATTTTTGATAAGGCACTATACCAGGTATATAAGATACAGAAATTTTTTTCTTTTATATGGAACTTGTAAATATTTTTTCCTTTTCATTTTGCATGGTTGTTAATATATCTTATGTACATTTTGGATCCTTTAAAGAAAACTGTACATTATTTGACATTTTGTGTTGTGTTTTGCAAACATTTTCTTCCAGTCTGTGGCTTGGATTTTCATTTCCTTTATAGTGTCTTTTAAGGAAGAAAAGATTTTAATTTTACTGAAGTCATGTTGATGTTTTTTCTTTCATAGTTTGTACCTTTTAATTGTAATCAAGAAATATTCCCCAAACCCCAAATCAGTAAAATTTTTTTCATATTTTATTCTAGAAGTTTTATAGTTTCAACTCTAGCATTTAGGACTATATTCCATTTTGTGGGTTGTTTTTTTTTTTTTTTGTATGTGGCATGAGATAAGGGTTGAGATTTATATATTATTTTGTATATGGTTATCCAATTGTCTCCCTTCATTTATTGGAAAGATTATCTTTTTCCATAAAACTGATTCAGCAGGTTTGTCAAAAAACAATTGAAAATATATGTGTGTATCTGTTTCCAAATACTTTTCTATTACATTAATATATTTTTCTATATTTATCCAATACCATACTATCTAATAACTGTAGCTTTATAAGAAGTTCTGAAATCAGTCTAAGTCCATTAACATTGTCTATTTCAAAGTAATTTTGGTTATTTTAGGTCTTTTGCATTTTCTTATTAATTTTAGAACCATCTATTCAATTTCTATGAAAAAGCGTGCTGGGATTTTGATTGAGATTGCATTGAATGTATCTATCAATTTTGGGAGAATTGAATCTTTGCAGTATTGAATCTTCTAACCCATGAACTTGGTATATTTGTCCATTTATTAAGACTTCCTTCAGTCTCTATCAGAAATATTTAGTTGTTTTCAGGGTACATGTTTTATATATCTTTTGTCAAATTTCTAAGTATTTAATATTTTTAAATTGATATATACTTGTACATATTAATGGGATACATATATTTTATTAGTGCATAGAATATGTAATGATGGAGTCAGGGTATTTAGGATACTCATCACCTGGAGTATTTATCATTTCTATGTGTTGGGATGTTTCAAGTCCTCTCTTCTAGTTATTTTGAGATATACAATATATGGTTGTTAACCATAGTCACCCTACTCTGCTATAGAACATTAGAATTTATCCCTCTATCTAACTGTATTTTTGTCCTATTAACTAAGCTCTGTTCATCTCTTCCACTATACTTTTCCCAGGCTCTGGTGTCTATCATTCTATTCTCTACCTCTATGGAATCAACTTTTTAAGCTTCCACATATGGGTGGGACCATGCAATATTTGTCTTTCTGTGCCTGCTTTATTTCACTTTATTTCATAACATAATGACTTCCAGTTCCATCCATGTTGCTACAAATGAACAGGATTTAATTCTTTTTTTTTTTTTTCTGTCAGCTCTTTGGACAATTTGCATGGAGTTTATTCTTTTATATCACTGAATAGTATTCCATTGTGTGTATATACCACATTTTCTTTACCCATCCATCCATTGATGGACACTTAGGTTGAGTTCATATCTTTATACTGCAATAAATGTGGACATGCAGGTGTCCCTTTGATATACTGATTTCTTTTCCTTTGGATAAATACCAAATAGTAGGATTGCTGGAGCATATGGTAGTTCTATTTTTAGTTTTTTGAGAAACTCTGTACTGTTTTCTACAATTACTGTACTAATTTATGTTCCTACCAAAAGTATATAAGAGTTCCCTTTTCTCCACATATATATCAGCATATGTTATTTTTGTCTTTTTGATGATAACCATTCTAATTGGGATAAGATGAGATCTCATTGTAATTTTGATATGCATTTCTCTAATGTTAGTGATGTTGAAAACTTTTTTCATATACCTGTTGGCCATTTGCATGTCTTCTTTTGAGAAATGTGTATTCATGTCCTTTGTCTATAGTTTAATGGGATTTTTTTTAACTGTCAGGTTGTTTGTGTATTCTAGATATCAGTCCCTTGTTGGATGAGTAGTTTGCAAGTATTTTCTCCCATTTGACAGGTTGTCGCTCCACTCAATCGATTGTTTCTTTTGCTGTGCAGAAGCTTTTTAGTTTAATATAGTCTCATTTGTCTGAGTTTTTTGCCCGTGCTTTGGAAGTCTTAACCATAAAGTATGTGTCTAGATCAATGTCCTGAAGGATTTCTTTTCTTCTAGTAGTTTTATAGTTTGGATCTTCATGCTTAAGTCTTTAATCCATCTTGAGTTGATTTCTTTATATGGTGAGAGATAGGGGTTCAGTTTCATTCTTCTGCATATGGATATCCAATTTTCCCAGTACCATTTATTGAAGAGGAAATCCTTTCCCCAATGTATACTCTTGGCACCTTTGTTGAAAATCAATTGGCTGTAAATAGGTGGATTTATTTCTGTGTTCTCTTTCTATTCCATTTGTTTATGTATCTGTTTTTATACCAATACCATGCTGTTTTGGTTACTATAGCATTGGAATATATTTTGAAGTCAGTGGCCCTACTGTTGGAGGCAGCAGGGTTGGTGCCATTGACTTGCACTTTGGCCCTGGTGCTGACAACCAGCAGCAGTGGCAGTTCCTGGTGAGATAGTCTATCCTCAAGGTACCTGTAAATGCATGGTGGCCTTGCTGCTGGAGTTGGTGAGGTTGTTGCCAGTGGCTTGTGCTTTGACTCTACTGTGGCAGCCAGTAATGGTGGTGGCTTCTAGTCGGGGAGTCTGATCTCAGGGCACATGAAAATGTTCAATGGCCCATTGGTAGGAGTAGCAGCGTCACTGCCAGTAGCTTCTGATTTGGCCCTGGCAGCAGTAGCCAGCAGTAGCAGTGGCTGTGAAGAGGGGATGCCAGTGGGGCTCCACAGATGTTGAGATGCAAGAGCTGTTGGGCCCTATGGCAGGATGCAGTCTGGTGGGGCATGGGCTCTCAAAATGGCCATGTGTAGCTGCTTAGGACTTGGTAGTGTATGGGACCCAGTGTGAGCTTCTTCTCTGGACCAATGCTGTTATGTGGTCTCCAGGTACGTCCCTATATTAGTCTTAGGGCCCGCATTGGTCTTTGGGCTCTCCCATTGCTGGTAGTGCAAGAGTTCTCAGTGGGAATGTAGACTGCTGGGGTCTCTCACTTACCCTTTGCCCTCGTTGGGAAGCCTCTCTGGCTCCCAGCTGATCGCATCTGAGCTGTCTGTCTTGCTTCCTTCTCCTTCTTTGCCTTCGGTGTTTCTTGTCACTTCTCTGTTGAATTTCAGCATTCTGTCCTAGATGATCTATTTGATGTGTGATCATCTACTTGCTATTTTTGCTCTTCTTTGTGGAGAAGGTGAATACCAGATGCCTCTAATCAGCCATCGTCTCCTCCTACTTCATATGTTTTTCTTTCTTTCTTTTTTTTTTTTTTGAGACAGAGTCTCGCTTTGTTGCCCAGGCTAGAGTGAGTGCTGTGGCATCAGCCTAGCTCACAGCAACCTCAATCTCCTGTGCTCAAGCGATCCTCCTGCCTCAGCATCCTGAGTAGCTGGGACTACAGGCATGCGCCACCATGCCCGGCTAATATATATAGATAAATTTAGTTGTCCAGCTAATTTCTTTCTATTTTTTTTAGTAGAGATGGGGTCTCGCTCTTGCTCAGACTGGTTTTGAACTCCTGACCTTGAGCTGTCCACCTACCTCGGCCTCCCAGAGTGCTAGGATTACAGGCATGAGCTACCACGCCTGGCTCCTCATATTTTTTTGATGCTAGAATTATAGTGTAAATGGTCTGGCCCAGTGCCAGACACAGAGGGTAGATAATGGACAACATGTTTTTTTGAAGAACAAGTGAATGAATGAATGAATGAAATGTATAAGTATAAAGTATCTATGTAATGAGGCATGTCTGCTCAGTTTTAGGATTTTTTTTTTCTCCTCAGAATTCTGCAACATGGGAGCACATGTAGAGAAAGCAGTTTTTTTCCTGATAGGCCTAAGCCACACCTCTAATTCTGTAGGAGTAGACGCTTTTCAGTTTTTTCCTTAATGCTGCCCATCTAGCTTACTAAATCTGTGCAACTTTCCTTCTCTTTTTGTTTGAATATTCCCTGCCCCTTTCCCTCCTGTTTTTCTTTTCTTTGTGACTTTAAGTATCTCCTATTAGCTAGGAACAGAATCTGTTAGTTATTCTACCATAACTTTATCTCCTTCCAAATTCTGTGACCCCTTGTTGACTATGACAACAGATTTTAACTTCTATGAGTGACAGTCAAATAACATGCTTATCAGCTGGAGTCAGACTGTGTGTCTTTGGAATGTCACTAAACCTCTTTGAGTTTCCAGGAAGGCCTTCCCTCTCTACCCAGTGCTGACCATTGAAACAATACCCTCTCAGCCTCATATCCCACCCATTAATACACACTATCACAGGACATTACTGTCGGGTAGTGATTCCTGTTCACATATCAAGATTATAGACTCTTAGAAGGCAAGATCTCTGCCTTTTACCTTTATTTTCTTCTGCATGCCTTTCATACTTAAGTGGTCAATCATTGAATATATATTTTTTTCTCATTAAACTTTGTTTTAATGGGTCTTAAAATCCTGTGACAGATTTTTGGTCAAGTTGTTTCCATTAAAAAGTACTGATTTTAAAAACTAATAACTTAAAACTGCCACACAAAAAGAAACAAAAATGGTCCACTAAACATTCTCCTTTCCTTCTAAAGGTTTTACGATGCATTGTTGTTATTATCCAGTCTTTCACTATTAAACTTAAATGGCCAGTTGAAACAGTTCTGAGATAGTTCTACCACTGATTAAGAGTGGGGTGGCAGGTATTAGGGATAATATTCATTTAGCCTTCGAGCTTTCTGGGCAGACTTGGTGACCTTGCCAGCTCCACCAACCTTCTTGTCCACTGCTTTGATGACCACCCACAGCAACTGTCTCATATCACTAACAGCAAAATGACCCAGAGCAGGAGAGTCAGAGAAGCTGTCAACACACATGGCCTTCCCAGGAACCATATTGACGATGGCAGCATCATCAGATTCCAAGAATTTGGGGCCATCTTCCAGCTTCTTTCCAGAGCAGTGAGCAGTCTTTTCCTTCAGTTTGGCAAACTTGCAGAATATGTGAGCTGTGTGACAGTCCGGTACAGGAGTGTAGCCAGTGCTAATTTGGCCTGGATGGTTCAGGATAATCACCTGAGCAATGAAGCCAGCTGCTTCCATTGGTGGGTCATTTTTGCTGTCACCAGCAACATTGCCACGATGAACATCTTTGACAGACACGTTCTTGATGTTGAAGCCCATGTTGTCCCCTGGAAGAGCTTCACTCAAAGCTTCATGGTGCATTTCAACACACTTTATTTCATTTGTAACATTGAGTGGAGCAAAGGTGATCACCATGCGGAGTTTGAGAACACCAGTCTCCACTCAGCCCACCAGGATAGTACCAATACCACCAATTTTGTAGACATCCTGGAGAGGTAGACGCAAGGGCTTGTCAATTGGATGAGTTGGTGGCAGGATGCAATCCAGAGCTTCAAGCAGCATGGTTCCACTGGCATTGCCATCTTTACGGGTGGCTTTCCATCCCTGAACCGAGGCATATTAGCACCTGGCTCCAACATGTTGTCACCATTCCAACCAGAAACCAGCACAAATGCTACTATGTAGGGGTTGTGGCCAATTTTCTTAATATACGTGCTGACTTCGTTAATGATTTCTTTGTATCTCTTCTGGCTGTAGGGCGGCTCAGTGGACTCCATTTTGTTAACACCAACAATTAGTTTTTTCACACCTAGTGTGTAAGCCAGAAGGGCATGCTCACTGGTATGCCCATTCTTTGAGATACCAACTTCAAATTCACCAACACTAGCAGCAACAATCAGGACAGCACAGTCAGTCCAAGATGTGCCTGCAATCATGTTTTTGATAAAGTCTCTGTGTCCTGGGGCATCAATAATAGTCACATAATATTTGCTGGTTTCAAATTTCCACAGGGAGATATCAATGATGATACCATCCATGCTCACACTCAGCTTTCCATTTATCCAGGACCCAGGCATACTTGAAGGAGACCTTTCCCATCTCAGCAGAGTCCTTCTCAAATTTTTTGAGGTTCTTTTGTGGATTACACATTTGTAGATCAGATGGCCAGCAGTGGTGGACTTGCCTGAATCTATGTGTCCAACGACAGCAATGTTGATATGAGTCTTCCTTCCCCATTTCAGCTTTATGGGTGTTTTTCATGACCCTTGTGTTCTGGCAGCAAACCCATTGGGAAAAAAAATGTTGAATTTTTTTTTTTGTTTTTTTGTTTTTTTTTGCGACAGAGTCTCGCTATGTTCCCTGGGCTAGAGTGCCGTGGCATCAGCCTAGCTCACAGCAACCTCAAACTTCTGGGCTCAAGCTATCCTCCTGCCTCAGCCTCCTGGATAGCTGGGACTACAGGCATGTGCCACCATGCGCGGCTACATTTTTCTATGTATTTTTAGTTGTCCAGCTAATTTCTATTTTTAGTAGGGATGGGAGTCTCACTCTTGCTCAGACTGGTCTTGAACCCTTGACCTTGAGTGATCCTCCTGCCTTGGCCTCCCAGAGTGCTAGGATTATAAGCAGAATTTTTTTTTTTATGGAGACGATGTATCCATGTTACTGAGTTCAGATAGTGCATGGAAGGTACCTACTGCAATGACTGGCATATAGTAGATATTTAGTAAATCATATGGAGAGCACTCTATCAATATGGAGAATTTTGCTTCATTTCCTCTCTTTTTTATTGATCCCCTATTTCACATAATTTGTCTGTTGGATGATTTAGGAACCTATCTATATACCTACCTATTTTTGTTTTGAAGTTTTTTTTTTTTAATTTTATTTACAAGAAAGTCACACTAATAGTGCAAGGAATTTCCACATATCCATGGATGTGTCCTCAGTGTATCATAATCAAGAAGGCGCATGATGTCCCTTTACTGGTGATGTGAATTTTGATCATTTGCTTAAGGTGGTGTCTGCCATGTTTTTCTACTATGAAGTTACTATTTTTCCCTTTGCAATTAATAAGAATCTGGTGGGGAAGTACTTAGAGTTTATGTAAATATCTTGTTTCTCATCAAATTTTTACTCTCTAATTTTAGACTCATTAATGACTCTTTCCTGAAACAATTATTAGGGAGTTTACCATGTAGTGATTTTTCAATTTCCATCATTTCTTCTATATCTCTTAGTTGGCATTTTACTATAAGACAGAGTTTTCCCTTCTTCTTCATTTAGCTGTTTAATCATTTGTTAATTTATTTCACTCTAGACTCATGGAATCTTATTTTGTTCAATGGATTATGATCCAGTAGAATCATTATTTGTTTGTTCCTTCTTTTTCTTAAACTGTGCAGATGGTAAAATTGGATGGGTGGAGAGAGCTTTGGGAAACATGGCTTTGAGTACTCCTGTTTAATTTGGGGGTGTGCCAAACAGCAGGTCCGGAGGATAAGCATTCATATGGTTTTACCAGCTTAACAAGGACCAACATGTAAGAGAAAATAGCTGTATGTTATTCTAGAATATATTGTTTCCTTTCTGTTTCAGGAAATAAATAGGGTCAGTTGGAGGTAGTTTAGTCATTAGGGCCATTACAACTTCCTCTCTTAACTTCTAGCAGCTGGAGATGTTCGTTGTTTTGTGGTAGACTGTGTTACGTATATATTGACAGTAAATGGGAAAGGCGATTTCAGTATCACTGCCTTGGCACAAGATGGCAGCAGTCAACCATTGATTTTTTGCAGCTCAGAGCCTACTGATTGTAAGTGAACATTGTCTTTTGCTTTTGCAGGGACTTCAGTACTAATGCTAATAACATCCAGATTGACAAAACCAAGCCTCTGTGGCACAACTATTTCCTGTGTGGATTTAAAGGAATTCAGGTAAATTGGTTTATAAGGAACCTACTAGCAGTTGAGATTAGGGTGTGTATTATATCAGATTTATTTTATTTACTATATCATTTTTGTCTCATTATAATACCACCTGATATTTCTGTTCTGTTTTGCTAATTTATATTTTAGAGGGTGGAGAAGACATGATTGTTTGTGGGTGGTGTTCACAGGGGGCAGTAGTGGTCTTTCATATAAGCTGGCTGTTCATAAATCAGGTGCATCTGACAACTATCTGTTTTTTAAAAAATCTTTGTTCAAATTTACTTTTGAGGATATGTTTTAGTAATATTATTTACATTTTATTCTTGGGATATAGAAGTGTATACTGTAATAGGATTTAGAGTCAGACAGCCCATGTTTGAATCTGGGCTCCAACAGCTGTGTAAATTTAACCTCTTAGGTCTCAGATTTATCTGTAAAATGATGTCATTGCTATTCTGACAAAGAGTTATTGCAAGAATTACACAGTGCTTAACACTAGTAGGCATTTGATAAATGACAATTATTATTATTATTATTATTGCTTCAGATGGAGTTAAAAAACATGTAATGAGATGTATAAGCATTTTCCTAGAAACATGGAATAATTACCTTGAAAATCTCTATTATTATGTATAAGAACAATAAAATAAAATATTTCCACTTTCTCTAATTGTTGAAAAACTATGTAAGACAAAAAAATTGATATTTGCTGTTTTTAGAGCCACTTTTATATTTAAAGAATTATTTTAGGTGTCATGACTCTTGTATAGAATCATAGGTAGGATGTTAAGAGATGGATTTTGCCTTTGTGAGCAAAGAGCAAACAAACTAACTCATGTTTTAAAGAGCTGTGTTCCTTACTGCCTGGCGGTGCTATCTGAAACTTTATCATGAGTAGCCTAGGTATATCTGTTACAGAAATACATCAGATTTAGAACAGTGGTGGTTTTGTTATTAGAGTTACCACATTCATTTCTTTCTTTTTTTGTGTGTGTTTGTCTGTTTTTTTCCTGTTAGACACATGTTAATAACTTACAGGAAAAGTTATTGGTAGGTTTTAAATCTCCAAATCATTTTGTTTGTCATACGCATTAGTGGGAATTACAGTATTTGGAAGCATTTGATTTTCCTTATAACAACATGCCTTTTAGTAGCATATGGATAAAGTGGCCTAAATAATGCATGCTGCTTTGTACTGTTTTTGAGAATTTCAAGTTTTAAAGCTTTGTCTTTGGTTTGACAACTTATCTACAAAAGCAGGCTTATTCAATGGACTTTTGGCAGAAAAGTAATTTAAATGTTAGCCTGTTCAGAAACCTTCAAATACTAGAAAGCCTCAGAGGATAATCTGTTTATATTAAATTGAACATGTTATCCTTTTGGGAGAGAGCTATTACAGAATTTGGCACAACCCATTTGCATTTGAATCTGTTGTACATTTTAATTTAAACATTGCGTGATAAGTTCATAAGTATGATTCACATTCAAGATGCCCTGTGGATCAGTTTATAGTTAAATATATAGTATTCTCCAAGGTTTTTGTTTTTTTTTAAAACAAGCTGTCTGACGTTCTTTATGAAAGGGCACTGGCAGCAACAGTGTTTCAGTTTATAATTTGTTTGTATTTCTGGAAGGAAATTTTTAGATGACTTGAAATCAAGAAGAGAAGTACATCCAACTGAATCTCTTTTTTTGTGGTGCATGAGTTTTGCCAACTAGGAAGAAAAAAATTAAGGAAAAAAGAGCCTTTTATTTACAGAGTTTTGTTGTTACTTTGGTTATTCTAACTAGTTTAGTGAAATTTCTCCCTAGAATAATAAGTATGATGAAATACATAATTAGGTAATATAATAGTGTTTCATACTTTGGTCTTGAGTCGTTTGAGTAATTCACAAAGATGATGGTACTTTTTCTTGAGGAGGTGGACCTGATTTTTTAAAAATTCTAAACCACAAGGATTATGATATGATATTATCTAAAGAGTCCTAGTCCTAGGTATTTCTGTAAGTACACTAGAGCCTTCCATCTTTAAATCAGAGTTTGATTATTTCTTTGGGCCTTCCTATTTGTAGAAATAGAGCTTTCCTGTCTCAGAGTCCGAATTCTCATTTGTGGCTGAATTCTAATTTGGCTGTCTTTAAAGCTGCCATATGGCTAAACTGTATCTATAAACTCTAGTAAAAATCTGGATTTCCTCATATAGCTGACATATTAAATCACAGTGACAGTTTGCTGGCCCAGGTTTCTAATTGCAGTGGAGAAGTTCTCAACCAGGAATCAGAGACCTGGACCCTACTCCCAGCTCCCTATGTGTGATCTTGGGAAAGTCTCTTAATCTCTTGGCGCCTAGGTTTTTCTATAAGTAAAACAAAACTGAGAAAGTTTAGGACTCTTTATCTTCAGAGGATGTCTGAAGCAAGACACTCCTTAGAAACAAGCCATTGCTTGGGGGTTAGACTTTTCTAATAACAGGATGCTGGAGATGTGCTGTGTAGAGGTTTAACCTACCTCACAGATAATTGTGTATTTCTTATCTTGCTACTTGACAAGTTGAATTGTTGTGTAATTGTTTTATATTTGTATAAATATAACAATTGTATAATTGTTTTATATTTTTTCCATATCCAAATTAATTAATATTCAAGAAAAAGAATATTTAAGACAATTTTTGGAAATAGATCAGTAGCTTTTTGTTGAACAAAGTAAAAAGTAATCTTCAAATGACCTTACCTTACGGCCAAGAGCCATTAAATAAAATGTCATGTATAGCTTCAACTAAATTGAATTGTACAACTAATTTCTATAACTATTATAATAAGTCTATTGATAGACTTTTGCTTTCTGGGGAATGAAAGAAGATCTCACTATTCCTTGAATCCAGCACTGAAATTATTATTGCTGTTTTTTCCTTGTATTCTTAGGAACACTTTGGTCTTAGTAACCTGACTGGAATGAATTGCTTGGTAGATGGAAATATCCCACCAAGTTCTGGCCTCTCCAGCTCCAGTGCTTTGGTCTGTTGTGCTGGCTTGGTGACACTCACAGTGCTGGGAATGAACCTATCCAAGGTAACTACTTATGATAGTAAACCTCACAGAACCCTCTCCTTCCAAAGGCATCAAATCTCAAAATCAGAATGCCTTCCTTGATTGGAAAACTGTATCTTACCTGAAAGGACTGAACACACGGGCAAGCCTTGTAACTTAACAAGTTCCACTTGTGATAAATCACTATAAGGTAGATGATTCACACAGTAAGTGAATAAATCTGTGAATAATTGTATTAAAATACTCTTAGATTAAATATGGAATTTGGAATACATTGATATCTTTTTAGATCACCTCATTAGCAAGGTAAATTTAAAGCAAGAAATTCTAGGACTCATGGTTGGGTTTGCTTATTTTCACCTAAAACCTTAAATTAAATATTTGACAAGCAGTGGGTAAAAAGGATAAAAGACCAAGTAATAAAGAAACCGAACAGCATATCTGTTTATGTGAACAGGTTAATCACTGAAATAAACTTTAAAAAAATATTGCATTCCAAAGAGGACATGCTTATTTAGAGGAAATATAAATTCTATAAGAGGTTGGACATTTCTAAACTTCATAGTTCACGTAGATCTCTGACTTTGCAGTTCAGAGCAGGTATGCTCAGCTTTAATTAGTGCTTTGGCATTCAGGGTCGCATAAAATGTTATCATAGGTTCTTAGATGGTTTGGGAACAGACTGGGCATCAGACAAATCAAGAGAAAGTCAGCCACATGCTTAGTCTCTTTTAAGTATGTTTAAACTGTCAGTTTGAAGATGTTGTATGTAGGAGAGAAAGGAGAAATGAAGGAGAAAGCAAATGTTCAGATGGAATTCTCGTTAGCTGTCATGTATAAGTATACATTAATTAGCCGTTTGTAAACAATGGCTTATTGGATGGGAAGGTAGCTTACTTGCTATTTGTTTTTTGAGAGAAAGCAAGGGAAAGGAAGTCCATATGTAAAATGTGTTTCCCCTGATACAACTTTTAATCTGATTCTTTGTTTATTCATTCCTTTGTTCATCATTCAGTCATTATTTATTTAGTGGCTGCTTTGCGCTAGGTAATGTTCAAGGCATTGGAAATACAACAGGTACAATCTTAACCCTCGCCATGCCTATGATCTAAAAGGGAAATAGAGCTAAACAATTAGGCAGCTGTAATAGAGTGTAGTAAATGGATAAGTAATGTTCTATGTGAGCAGATTTAGAGCATAGGACAGTTAAGCTGAGACACCAAGGACTCAAGGAGTTTTACATATTAGTCAACAAATACTGATGGCATGATAACACTGACATCATCAGATAAGCATGTTTCAGGTGGAGAGAACATCATGTGGAAATATCTATAGTAAGAGCAGTTGTGGCTTGTTGGAGGAACTAAAGGGATCAGTGTGGCTGGAACATACAGCTCTTTGGATTACAGGGCAGGAGATCAGATGCTGAGCCTTGTAAACCATGTTGAAGAATTTGAGCCTCATCTTCATAGCAGTGGGAAACCATCATGGGGTTTTAGGAAGAGAGTAACATCATATTTATATTTTAGAAAGATCACCCTGGCTATATTATAAAGTCTAGATTTAAACATAACAATATTACCAGTAGGGAGATAATTTGGTCTAGGGAAGTAGCTGTGAGAAAGGGTAGAATTGGATGATGGATTCAAGATCTCAGACAAAATCAGTAGGACTTGGTCATTGACTGGGTGTGGGGCTGAGGGATAGCAAAGGGTCAAGGATTATATCCAGGTATCTGGCTTGGTATGATTCATGGAATAAGGAATTATTGATGGAAAGTGGGTTTGAGGGGAAGCTGAGATGTTGAGTGTGAGGAATCTATGGGCATATTGATGGAGTTATTTAGTATTTAGTAACAGAAAAATATCTCTTCTTGAAGATCAGGAAGGAGATCTGGATTTGAGATGGTCCATTTGAGGATCATGAGAATATAATTGGCTCTTGAAGCCATAGGAGTGGATGAGGACATCCAGTGGTGAAATATAGGTGGAAAAGTAAGGAAGACCCAGAGCAAAGCCCCAGTAAGCATGAACATTTGAGGGATGGGCAGAGGAAAAGATGTCCACTGAGAAAACTGAGGAATAATCTAATAAGCAGGAGGAAAACCAAAAAGGTGAGGCAACACTAAAGAGAAGGAAGAGAATGTTTCATGAAAGGAGTAGTAGTGTTTTCGAATGCTGCCGAGAGGTTAAATAAGATAAGTTTTGAGAAGTATCCACTGAATATAGCAAAAAAGAAGTTGAAAAAACTTTGGCAAGAGCAGTTTAAGATAAGAATGGGTTGAAGGGTCTATGAGAGTTCAGAAAGTGATAATGAAGGTCAGTGGCTACTAGAAGTCTGGTGATGCATGAAAAAAGATAATTTGGTATCTGGAAGTGAGGTGTGAAGTCAAGGAATACAATTCAGTTTTAATGGGAGGATTGGTGAAACTTAGTTTTTGCATTTGCATCCGATGCTTTGATACTTTTAATATCTAAGATAAGAGAAGAAAAGAAGATAAAGAAAAAGAAACACATTTGAACCTTTTGAATTAATTCTGGCTGTCTCTGTTTTCAAAGTCAAAAATAGCAACTGTATTTTTATAGGAACTATCTGAGTCCAATGCCTACAGCATACAGGGAACAATATGTATATCCTGGCTTTCTCCACTAGTCTAAGTTTTTTTTTTTAATTAGAAAATGTATATTTTTAGTTTTTGATTTTTAATTAATTTTTTTTATTTCAGAGTATTATAAGGGGTACAAACGCTTTGGTGATATAATTGCACTGCCTGTCAAGTGTGCCCATCCCTTAGACAATGCGCATCACATCCGTTAGGTGTGGATTTACCCATCCTCTTCTCCCCCCTCCCACCTGTTCCACACTAGTCTAAGTTGTACCAGCAATATTTATATTTTCTAGAGTCTAAGCATCATAATTATTTGGAGAGCAGTTTTTTTTTTGAATGACACAAAATCTTGACTGAAAGGAAGCTCCTAATATGCTCAGAGTCTTTAAGTGTCAACTGTATACATGACTCTTATAAAAATCATAAGAACTCATAAAGAGAAGAACTCAAAGGATTTTAAAGATGAGCTAGTTCAAAAGCCTCTTTTTATTGATGTATCAGTTAGTATCCCAGTAAGAAAAAAATGCCATTTTAGGGTATAACTGAAGAGAGTTTAATCAAGAGACTATTTACAGGAGTGTGGGTAAAGTTAAGTGAACCAACTAGGAAGGATTGTCTTGGGAAGCCAGAAGTCAATATACTTTAAATGCTGTGGCTATAGAGTAAGGCTTCCAGAAATGCAGCAAGGCAGAGAAAGAATGACATAGGTGAATATGGCAATGAGTGGGAATGGATGAGGGAAGTTGTCTAGAGAGATCAGCCTCCCTGGGGTAGAAAAAAGTGTGAGAATGGAGGGATGGGGGACAAACATGAATAACCAGCCTGTTTGATAAGGACACTAAGTCCCACAAGAGATTGGTGACTAGTCCCCTCCCAATTCTTTTATATTTGGTATACTTCATTCAGTTGCAGACAACAATTACTGCAGATGGGATATGATAAGTAGATATGGAACTTGTTAGTTCATTGATAAATTAAATGTCTGATAAGTAAATGTAGAACTTGTTAGTTGATTAATAAATTAAATGTCAAAAGAAGATGGATAGTCACCCAGAGAGTCTAGAAGCCAGAAATTATGAATCGGAATGATACTGGTAGAAGAGAGTATGGTGTGATAAAAGACCTATGAAAAAGAAAAAGGCTCAAGACGTCTGGTTTCAGGATGTCAGATTAAAGACATATCTCCTCTTTCTTCCTCTGTCCCTCACTCAATCTTCTTTTTTCAAAAATCATTCCCAAACAACAGGGAAAATAAGAAAAGGAAGCACAAGCTCCATCTTTGGTAAACCAAGGTGACATAAATAACCCTAAACCACAAAACACGAAGATGGAAAGTAGACGGAGGAATGGGCATGACTTAGCATGGAGAAAGGTCAGAGTGAAGTGCCTGTGGACGGAGTTGCAAATGGAAAGCAAGCTGACTCATCCTGCAGCTCTCTGGAAAGCCTCAGGAAGAAAGCAGGGTAATATGGTGGTAGGTGGGGATTTATTTGAAAGTCTTTATGAGGTTTAGTTAGACCCTCAAAGCCCTCTATTAGCCTTGGACCATTTCCCCCTGTCCTTTGCAAGAGTCTCTGGAGAACTTGGGGGCATTGACTGCTGAGAAAGGCAGGACAAGAAATCGAAATGAAAACTGAGGAATTAAAGGACATTCTGCATCTGAACAGTGAAATTCCTTGCTCCCTTCCTCTGGTCAGCTCCTGCACCCTGGCAGCCTCATCACCCTACCCCCCATCAGGAATGTTGGAGGATCCTTCTCAGAGGGCACTGAACTACCCTAGAGAAAAGACCTGTAGGCACTGACATTTGGTGACCCCCCCCACCACAAAAATTCTCCAGCTACTCTCTGACTCTATTAGAAGCCTATTTACAAAGCTTCTAATTAGCTTTTTAGTAATTCACTCTTAAATATGATAGGGCATTAAAGGATAATAAGATTTTTTTGGAAGAGCGACTCCAAGATGAAGCAAGCAAACAAAAACCAAAGAAACAAAGAGAAAACAGGAACTCAGCGGAAACAGAGAAAATGCTGAGAGCAGAAGAATGCTTTAAAGAAGACATGAATGTCCTCAGAGAAATAAAAGAAAATGTTAAAATCTTTGAAAAAAGAATAGTGTTATTTAAAAAGAAAAAAGGAACAGACAATAGTATAGAGAGTTGGGATATTAAAAATATGATAGCCAAAACAAAAAATTCAATAAAAGGATTAGAAGAATTCTCTGATAAAGTAGGGGTGAAAAAGCAGGAAAATAAGAGAGAGAAAAATAGGAAAATTTATGAATCAATCCTAGAAATTCAAACTCAACCAGTAAGGAAAAAAAAAAAAAAAAGAAAATCATTAGACAGTTATTTTTTTTACAAAATAATGTCCTTCCAAAGTGAAAATGTGAATTCTCAGATTGAAAGGGCTCAC